CTAAATAATATGGAACGGAACAACTGGACAGGTAGGAGGTTGACTCACACACTTAACTTTCTAAGAAGCTACCAAACATTTTCTAAAATGGTTTTACCATTTCAAATTGCCACCTGCAGTGTATGTGAGTACTAACTTACTCAAAATCCTTGTCAACACTTACTGTGGCCAGTGTTTTACATTTGAATTTTTCTACTAATAAATGATGCCAAGAATCTTTTCATGAGTGTATCTGACTTGAATCTGTATTTGTTGATGAAGAGTCTGTTAAAACTTTTGTTCATTTTTAACTGGGTTGTGTGCTAAGGACACTATGGACATGGGTCCTTCACCAGATGGGAAGGCTGTACAAACAGCCTCGCGGTCAGTGGACCGATTCACTTGCTACCTGTTTGATGGAGAGGAGACACCGGGACACCTGGGAGAGCTGGGACTGGACTCTTATATTGCAGAGTAGAAGCTACTCACTGTTAAACTTCTCGGGTCATACTTCTTCAGGTTATCAACTTCAATCTCTGTGGGGCAGGCTTTTGAATGTCACAAAGATTTTCTATGTCTTGCTCTCTTCTATAACTGTATCACATTACATATTAAGTTTGGGTTGTAATCAAATTTTTAGATACTGCACCAGGTGGCTTTGGAAAGTTCCTGGGAAAATGGAATTTAAAGAAAATGAGATTTTTCCATGAGCTTTTGGAAATGCCTATTATGGTATGAGGAGTTCTGGTGTGGCGCTGTGGGTTAATGTGCCAGACTGCAAAGCCATTTGAACTTCAAGGTCGGTGGTTCAAGCTCACCAGCTACTCCAGGGTCGCTATGGGTTGGAACCGACTCAATGGCACTTCACAACAACAACATTACGGTATGAAGTTTATGTAAAAGATGAGTTTTTTAATCTATAGATATGCAGTTTGTTCCAGAACTATTTGTTGAAACGACTAAATTGCTTCTGCTCCTTTGTAAAAGAATCCACTGACTATACGTGTAGGTATAGCTGGTGTGGTGCTGTAGGAAAAGCACTGGACTACGAACCACAAGGTTGATGGTTCTAACCCACCAGCCAACTCTTCAGAAACCCTATACAGGGTTGCTATACATTGGAATCAACTCAATGGCACCTAAGAAAAACAACCATCTCTATGTGTCAGTCTATTACAGAACTCTCCAGCTCACTCTGCTGATCAGTGTGTCCTTCTTGGCACAAGAAACCATACTGGCTTGATTACTATAGCTTTACATTAAGCCCTGAAGGAGGGAAGTATGACTTCTTCACCTTTTTTCTTTTTTCAAAATTGCTTAACTATTCTAAACTTTTGCATTTCCACCGAATTTTAAAGTCAGTTTGCTGATTTGTAAGGGGAAAAAGGCAAAACAAAAGACCCTCTTGGGCTGTTACGTGTTCAGTGTAATAACTGAACGTCAAGTCTGCCACTCCATGACCCTGTTCTACCTCTCCATTTGTTGAGGCCTTCTGAAGTTGTCGTTGTGGAGGTTTCCAATCCCTGGTTAGAGGTATCCCAGAATTCTGCACATTGTTAGGAGGCAATGGGCAGATAAGTGTGTGGGACTATTTGTGGACTCACTCCGCCCCATGATGTATTTGTCTGCCTTGATGGCAATATAATCATACCATGAATGGTATAAGCCTTATAATTAGATTTCAAATCAGGGAGTATAAATCCTGGAGTGGCACCACAGGATAAGCACTCTCCTCTCCTCAGAAACCCTAAGTACTGTCGCTATGACTCTTCAGCACTTACCAAAAACTAAAAGTATAAATCTTTTAGTTTCAATAAATTATTTTTCACATTTTGTATACAATATAAGCAATGTAAATTTTAAAGATTTTTTTTTACCTTCTGAATATGCAAATTCACAAATATACTCTGATGGCTTATTCTATTCAACCTATGTGTTTGGTGCCATAAGTCATTGCTATGGGAAAAAAAAAACGACCTTCCAGTTATCGACTTGTCAGGGGTTGGCAGGACCCTGGCAGAGGCAGGAGCAGAGCATTACAGACCTCAGGCCCAGACGCACTGGAATCCTGGAAGGTCATCTAAAACCCCCAAACTTAATGATCTTCCTTTAGTGGTTTAACTTAGGCTCTTCTTTAAAACAAAAGTGTTTAATGTAGTTTATTTCATTAAACTTGTATACAGCATTTTTATGTGACAAAATTTATATGTAAAAACAACACTTTAAAAGAATTATGCTATGTTCTCTATACTGCTAACAATATGAAGTTCATCCTAAATTAGCATTATACTATAACATCTCTCTGTAAATTATAGTTGGCCAAACTACATAGATGAAATTGAAAACTATGCTGTTGCTACTGTTGTTAAGTGCCGTCAAGTTGGTTCCGACCCATGGCGACCCTGCATAAGGTTTTCAAGGAGCAGCTGGTGAGCTTGAACCACTGAACCTGCAGTTCAAATGGATTTGCAGTCTGGCCCATTAACCCACAGCGCCACACCAGGCTGACAAAACACAGGTGCCAATCAATATATGTGACATTAGCTATTACTACACCTCTTCGGCGAAGTGAGGCTCGGGAGAGGCCTGGGATCTTGATGTAGAAAAAAGCATTCAGGGGATCTGTACAAACGGTAAGTCTGTAAACAACAGTGAACTATTCCAGACTCGACCGACACTTGTATCTCAGGAGTTTGGGCTGCATCATTTTCTAGTCACTTCTTCAGTCGTCTGTTGTTGGTCTTAAAACTTCTGGAGTGTGGATCTGAAAGAAAATCCCACCCACAGACCCCAACCAGGAGCTTCCAATGGCCTTTTCTGAGGCAGTTACTCTGTAAGGGGTGCCAGATGAGTAGGTGACGGGGAGGAGGGCTTCTGCTGAGTGTGTTATCACACATCTACAGCCCACCAGGACCAACGCGTCCGTGGGCTGGCCGGTAACGCTCCCCACTCTAGGACACGGCTAACAGAAAGAATCTGGTCTAACAGCGCTACCTGTAGCCATCTTTTTCAGAAGCAAAACACAGGTGAAATGGTCTTTGGTCCTAATTTTTGCTGACTGGGCATATCTTCACATCTTAGTTTAAACTGTTTTGCTTTGCAGCGTTTCCTATCAGAGCAGTAATCCTGGACAAATAAGCATTAAGAGGCCTTTTGTATCGCAGGACTCCGGGATGAGCTTGGACATAGAACAGGGCCTTTTCTATGTCTACAACGTGTCAGGCAGGCTGAGTGCTTTCAGGGAACCGAGCACTGGGCATGCTGTGGGCTGGCTGCTGGTTATTAAGCTGGTCAAGTCTGTCCAACGACACGTGAGGATTTGCTCCCCTGCCCTTGAATCAAGGGTCTCTGACAGGTGATAAAAGTAAATCTCAGGATGGAAGATGTTTTCTGTCAGCCCCCGAGACAGTCTGTATTGCAGGAGGGAATTATTTACACCATTTGGAACACTTTTGATACCTATTCCTTTCCAAGCTGATTGTAATTTGCGTGGAAACTCTGCTAAAAAGGTAAACCATGCCACAGAGGAATACATCAGAGAAACACAGACGTCAAATACAACCTGTACACCTAGCCTTGGGATAAAAAACTGTGTGTTGCTTAAATACTGTAAATCCAGCATTAAAGCTGAGTGCCTAGACTGGGCCATCAGAAGATGTTTTTGCTGAAGCCAGCAGTCTTTAAGCAGCAATTTTTTTGTCTTAAAAGAATCAGCTTTGATCTGTGCCACAGAGGCAGAGACATGTCAAAAAGACAGATGTTTTTTTTACTAGGAAACACTGGCTTTTAAGGTATAAACAACAACAGCTACACAAAGACAACCACTCCCTTGTTGACCCCAATCCAGAGCGACCCACAGGGAGGTTACCCAGGGTAACCTTCAGGAAGGGGAAGGGACACCCTTCAGTGAGGGGCCTTGTTTGCCATCTCAGACAGTGAATCTTTGAGTCCATGGATTAAAATGTGTGTTCACAGGTTAGCAAGGTTATTTCTATGAACTCACAAAGGAAGTTTATGTTTGCAAAATTAAGTTTCTGTTTCCAAAATAATACTTAACATGGGAGTTTCTTGATCTAACAAGATCTTGCATTACATTCCTGTCAACACCACACTGGGTATTAAAGCTACCTGTCTCTCACTGTTACAAATAACACATCGAGAACCAAACAAAATGTGCCACAGAGAGTAACATATTTCATGCCACACAGTGATGGACTTGACCATCTCATGTTACCCAAAGAAAGTCCAATACTCAGGTACAAATTGTGTTAACACATGGTTTACCATCTGAACTAGAACACTCGTAAGAGTTGTGACATTATTAATAATTATATGGTACAAAAGACAGAAAACCAAGATGGCCCAAGGCACAAGTAATTTACAATTATTCAAACGATTGCTTATAAGGTGTGCTGTGAGTGTACAAAGTAGATAGTACGATTTGATAAATGTTTCAAACATCTCACCCTAACCAAGGAATGCCCTTGCTCTTGCAGCCTGTGAATGCACATGAACGATGGGGGCGGGAGGGGAGGCTCAAGGCCCACACCCACCGTGAGTGGCCCTACTCCACTGTTGTTGATTCTGAACGCCAAAGGTAACTGAACAGCACCAACTTGAGGCCAGTCTGTAGAGTCCAGACTGGCAGAGCTGATGGATGGAAGGGTGGACACTAGGCAGGCAGACTGAGAGCCGGCGGCAGGAAGGTACGTGCACTGGTAAGCAGCGGGGATCTGACTGAGAGCCAGAGAGAGGACAGATGCCCCAGTTCTCATCATTGACCCCCACATCCCTCAAGGCAACATACTGAGCGTCAAGTTTGAGAGCCAAGTGTCTTTTCCCTCCTGCTTACCACAAAGTGGCAGAAGGAGACTGGTCCTCCCATTGACAAGATGCCCACTTTGTGACCACATGCAGAGATGAATGTAACTCTTAGCTAACCCCATAGAACTGTCCCCTGATGTCCCCAGTACACAGGAAAAGGGAAGAGGGTTCCCTAAGGGACGACGACGCCCACTGACCTGTGTGCTGCCTCCGGTGCTTGGTGAGCGCGTGCCGAGTCCCACCGGCGAAGCCACAAAGGTCACACAGAAATGACTTCTCGCCTGTTGCAACAATAAACAGATGAGGGACTGCAGAGGTCACAGATCATTAAAACATATCTATCAAGGCTTTCAGGGTTACTAATTCCTCCAATCAAATGTTTCCATGTAAATATGTCAAATGGGAATGAAATTACCACTGCGGTTTATTGACTGTGATAAAATCTGAAAAGCCCCACTGAACATAATTACATACTTGTCAGACCCATAAAAATTAGCTTTATTATCAATGGAATGGTTTTGTACAACTTCATTTCTGTTAGATGTCTTCCAGATGGGGCTGCTTTATGCACTTGAACAGTTTTTATGCATATCCTGATTTTTTACAATTCCCATACATCTGGCCTCTCGGTGCTGACTAAAGTATGCTTGCAACACTTAATATACAGCATATATGCTTCTGCTAGAATAAAACATATTGAATTTTCTAACAACTTGAGGATATTGCATGGGTTTTACCTGCTTCTAACAGGGTCTTCTTCAATAACTTCCTACTTAATAATATGAATCAAATTGTCTCCGTGACAAAACTGAAGATCCCAAGTAACAATACAATCCTCATTACCCAGTATCAATAACAATTCAACACTGTTCATGTTGCTCAAAACTTTCAGGGCATTAAAAAAAGGAAGTCTGGGGACTGCTAAAGAAATTGCAAAAAAACTTGTAGTATTCATCTTTAATGATAGCTCTTCAATGAAACTGGCGTAACAATCGGAGACAGACTTGGCTGACTTAGGATTTGTTTAGAGTGTGTAAATGCTCATTTTTCAGTGCAGTATTTTTATCTGAGCTAACACTTTGCCCTGCCGTTTATAAATGCAATGTATCTCCAGACTAAAGCATACTTAGGCACTAACTGCTAGCAGCTACGCAGTTTCAGCCCACAAAGCCCAGGAAGAAGGGCAAAACAGAATAAACACCCTAACCTTCCAGAGATTCAGTGACATTACAAAACACTAGGCCAGAAATCAAAGCCAAGCATTTGAATCTGCGTTCATCAACATTACTAATCTAGGCAGGCAACAAGGCTTTCCAGGGTTTTACTTTCTATCTGCTGGGTTCTGAAGTGTTCTGGATCAAAACAGAAATGTAGCTTGAGGCATATTGGAAATATAACTGCTTTTTTAAGTTAAAAAAAAAAAAAGTATAATCTAGGAACGCTGAAACACTTGGGCAATAAAAAAGTTCTCCCTTTATTTGAAAGCATTACCAGCTTTTCTTATTTAAATGAACGTATATTAGTAAAAGCTGTAACTACATATTGATTAATCGTATTTCCTAATGGCATGTTAAATGTTTATTATCCTCATTTAAAAAATAAAGTCAGATGAAAATATCATTTCCTTATCTATACTTTCATTGGGTTTGTTCTACGGCACTGTTATCTCAATACAGAAACAAGGACTAGAGTAGATGGGCTGTGAAGAACAAAGTTTAATTATAATCACTCATTTAATTATTTAATCAATTTCGAATATAAATCTTTCTAACTAGCTATATGATCAATTAAATAACACTAAAAGTAGACTTTTTTTTTAAACCCCACAATGCACTTAGCTCATTAACATGCTATTTTATGTTGTTGTTGTTAGGTGCCACTGAGTTGTTTCCAACATATAGTGACCATATACACAACAACAAAACACCAACAAAACACCGCCCTGTGTGCACTAGCCTCACAAATGACTCTATGCACACCAACGAAACACCGCCCTGTGTGTCTGCCTCACAAACGACTCTATGCACACCAACAAAACACCACCCTGTGTGCACTAGCCTCACAAAGGACTCTATGCACACCAACAAAACACCGTCCTGTGTGCACTAGCCTCACAAAGGACCCTATGCACACCAACAAAACACCGCCCTGTATGTGTCAGCCTCACAAACGTTGTCAGGTTTGAGCCCATCGTTACAGCCACTGTGACACTCCATCTCATTTCTGCTGACCCTCCTCTTTAGCAAGCAGGATGTCCTTCTCCAGGGGCTGGTCCCTCCTCATGACACATCTAAAGTGCATAAGACAGTCTGGCCATCCGTGCTCTGAAGGAGCACTCTGGCTGCACTTCTTCCAAGGCAGATTGGTTCACTGGTCTGGCAGTCTGTGGTATATTTAACATTCTTCTCCAACCCCAGAATTGAAATGCACCTATTCTTCTTAAGGAGGACGAGAGACAAACTCTGGCATTCTGGTGGTACTTCCTCCAACACAGATTTGTTTGTATTTCTGGCAGTCTATGGGACCTTTAATATTCTTCTCCAACACCATAACTCAAATGCATCAACTCTTCTACAGTCTTTCTTATTCACTGTCCAACATGCATACTCGACACTCAATCAATACCTGGACCCCTCCCTGTTTTTCGTCACCGTGTGTAGTTCACGGAGTGGCAAACATAATCATATGCTCCCTCCTGAAACAGCTGAACAATGACCAACCCTTTTTGTCACACGATTCTCGGTGTATTCCTTCGATCTTGTTTTGATGTTTCCTCAACATTTTGTCCATAGAATCCTTCAATACTACAATGTGGGCTTGAGTTTTTTCACTGCCATAGCTTTATGGAATGGACTGGGGGAAGGAAACAACGGGGGAACAGGAGGAGTGAATTTAGTGGTTGTGCTGGCCTGGGTTACCTATCTGGCAGTCTGTCTGTCGCACAGCAGAGAGGATTCCCATCCCTCTGGAACTCAATAAAAGTGAGCCTTCCTTCTCTCTGTTATCACGTCCTGGTGACCTACATCTTTCTTGTAAAATAAAAATGTTAACCACCAAGGGAAAGGCCTCACAGCTTACTCTTCCCTGTGTATACACACTGCATGTATCTGGACAGTTGGATCCCATGCCTGTTTCAGAATGCTCATAGCTACTATGAAGGCAAAGTCTTCATTGTCCATGTGGCCTGATTCTAGAAACATAAGTGGACTGCACACCCGGCAGTGTAAGGTTTTACCCAAGACATCAGTCCCCACTGGACCACATGCCATACTCACCTTGGGGGCTTGATTTGCTTTTCAATCTACATTCCATTTTCACTTTCTTTCTTTTTTGGAAGCGGGCAGGGGAATGAGGATTGAGCAGTGGGGAAACAGGGTACACAGGTGAGTGTTTCTATTTTCAAGAAAGAAACTTGAACAAAAAATCTCAACACTTTCCCTCACCGTGCACAGTCACCCAGCACGCCATATTTCTATGACGGCACAGCATCGCGAGGCCCTTTCTTTTTGCAACAATTCGAATTCGTTTCCAACGTGCCGTTTTGCATCCAAATGTACGAAGACACGGAAGCCGACCCTTTATTTTCCATTAGAAAACAGCCCTGTCCCCTCTCTCTCATTATGGTGCAGACTACAAGGCCTAACAACAAAAATCCATATTATTGATCTGGCCAAGTCTCCACAATTATTCTTCAGCAGGAAACGCCGACGATAAATTACATCTGCACTGGCTTTTCATCTGCTGTTCGATATAAGTGATCTCTCAGGGCAGGCTGGAGACCTTAAATCGTCAACACCCTTGTCAAGAAAGCTAAGGAGGCCCGGGCGCCCCACAAACTGTTTCAGAAGAACTTTTCACCTATAATTTCTAACAACAATAGATCCGGGACGCTTAGCAATGAGAAGAATATTTGGAATGCTGATTAAATTTGTTTCCTTCTTTTCCCTAAAGCAAAATGCTTTTTGAGAGGTGTAAAGAGTTAAAGAAGCCCACAAAAACACCAAGTGGCTCCCAGTCATGTGGCAGGAGTGGTGGGAGAGGAGGGGTGCGGTCTGGGTTCGTGCCTGGACAAAGGGAAGCCGGGCACATGAAGAGAATACACAACGCCCCATTTGTGGGACTGGGCCCATGATTCCTCTCAATTCTGCTCTTACTAACCATTCACTTCAGGAGTACATGGTTCATTCACTGTTGTAATGCAAAATGTATGTGAATTTGGACCTTGTAATTTGTAATTTTCTAAAAGAGAAATTTAGTCACTAAATTCCAATCGTTACACACCGTTGAGTCGGTTCTGACTTCATAATGACCCTGTGGCAGGGCGTTGAAGGCTGTCAAATTTTACAGAAGGAGAAACCTCATCTTTCCCCCATGGAGCCACTGGTGGGCTTGAACTGCCAAGCTTGTAAATTTGCAGTCCAGTGCTTATCCCACAGAACCACTGTATTCCCTAAATTCATAGTCACGTCTTTGTATTAATTGTAAAAAAAAAAAAAACAAAACTACCTCTTCCAGCTGATAGTACCCACATCTCTTCAGAGAAATAGGAATCCGACGCCTTTTGAAAAGGCACCAAGAGCACTGGAGTGCTAACCACGATCCGGCTGTTCAAACCTACCAGCTGCTCCTTGGAAACTCAATACCGGGTGGCTAGGAGTCAGAATCGACTTCACAGCACTTAACAACAGCAACAAGGCACAATGATGGTTTTGCATATTACAGGACTCTGTTTAAATCAGTAGCAAAACACAAGACGGGTTCTGTACCTCTGGGAAGCAGCTCCTACAACGGAAACTTATTCCATTTCAACATCTACATACACAGCCCCACCAGGTGTGCAAGTCTAAACAAACTGGTTCACTCATGTGCAGGTTACTTCCAGACTGCCCAGGTCTGCTAGGGGGAAAAGGCAGTGGCCCCAAGTCTGTGAGGCCCAGTGCCCACCTGTGTGGGTCCTGTAGTGGTCTTTCATGGCGGAGGCTGTGAGGAAGGAGTAGTGGCAGGTCGGCCAGCTGCACTTGAACGGCTTCTCGCCCGTGTGGAGCTTCATGTGGTTGTTGAGGGCCCACTTCTCTGTGAAACTCCGGTCACACAAGTGGCACGTGAACTTCCTGTGAGGGAGGAAAGAGAGGGAGAGCGTGAGGACTGGCCACACTGCGCACCCCAGTGGCAGGCCGCCTGCCTCCTTCCACCCGGCTCTACGCGGCAGGCCTGGTATGTCATGTCTGTATAAGCAGGCATTGATTTTTCTGTCCAGGCCTGGCACTTGAGCCATTTATTCTCTGCTTTGCGGTTGGGCCCAACGGGTTTGAAAAATTCTGTTACAGTCCAGTCACCCCTGAGGCAAATGTGAGAATAGATTTCACCTGTACAGGCCTCCACCACTTATCCAGGGCAGGGGCTGTCAGAGCAAAGGCTAAATGAAAAGCTATCCATACTAAACTACTCAGACAATCCCCCGGCTCGCTGCCAGGCCGCTGCTGAGGCACCGGGCTCAGGGCGGGAGCGGCTCAGCAGCCCCCATGGCAGGTGGCCCCCACCCTGGGTGGCCGGGAAAGGGTGCCCCCTGAACGTGCGGCGTGGGATAGGAGTAACACTAAGATGATTGCTAGTCCCTGGTCTTCAACGGGGTCTTGGCAAGGAACAGAACCTAATTACGTCCTGTGTAAAAACACCTGAAAATACAAATCGGGTTCAAACCCGCTGCAGCCCACAGTTCAAGACCTTTTAATAAACACCGTGAAGAATAAAGGGCAAGCAGCAGACACACACAATAAGCCCACTGGTCTTCCTCCCTTTGCACCTGCACTTAAGAACACATGGCTAAAATTTACTTTCTCACACAATTTCGTTTTAAGTAAGCCCTGTAAGTAATAAATTAAGTTAGTATTCAGCTATCCAAGGGAATGAACAAACAGAAGCAAATTCAAACCCAGTTATTTGAAATGAAATATTTTGAGGTGTGGCTTTGCAGCCCAAGCACATTGGGTCTGAAGAGCTCAGCTTCGTCCATCAGAAACTGGGCTCCCAACTCTAGCAGGTGGAGGCCCTTAAAGCCACACGATTAGCATCTGCTGGTCGGAAATCATGACATCATCAGAGCGGTTTCGAGAGAGATGCCCACTTGGCACAGTTTCCTGACCTGCATGTCCGACTTCTTCAGTCAGGGAGTATAGAAGGCAATCCCATCTTGGGGTAAATGAGGATGACTTTAATAGTTTCACAAATTCCTAGCAATCAAATGAGGAAACAGCCTTTGATAAAAACCCCTATTCTTTTGTTACATATGGAAATATTTTATAAAGTAAAATTTATATAAGGGAAAATTGTTAAATATTTCAGAAATACCATAAAAAAAGTGCAAGTACTTCATTAATATTAAAATTGTGAATTAATGTTTCTGTATGATGTATGTGTTGAGGCACTGTATTTACACCCGTTTACAGAAAGCTGACTTTCAAATTACTCTATCATTTGATCATTGCTTACTGGTATTGGAGAATGACAAATAGAGCTAAATACTCCGCAATGCACAGTAAAAAAAAATATCATGTCCGTATATCTCTTTGACGGGTCTTCATGCATTTAACATTTCAAAACCATGACAGGGATCTTATTTCCAAGATAAATTCCCCTATCTACTTATTTCTTCATGTATTTATTGTGGATCTAACCTTCTGCTACAAGAAATAAATAAGGAGGTTAAGTAGATGCTATCTTTTAACAAATAGTTTCTCCAGACTGTATTACAACTTTATGAATGACAAAATAAATCCCTCATTTTTAAATCTACCGTGATGTACATGAACAAAATTACATCGATGGAAACTCGGTATGTACACTCGATTATTCATACGTAATGAAAATGTTCAATGAAGGCTTAGTGGCTGTCGTGAAATGACAAAAGCCAGACAACTGAGAAGGAAGGCCACTACTTGAATTTCAGAGAAACCCCACGTGTTTCAGAATTTGCTGCCTGAGTAATTTCAGGTGCAGGTACTTGGAGACGAAGCTGAGTGGTCACCCGAGCACACTGCCCTCAGACAGATGCAGAGCTCCTCCTCCTCAAGGCTGTAGTTCTTGGACCGACACCAAAAACGAGTCCTCAGCTAGTCTCAAACAGTTGCTTTCAGGCAATGAGCTAGGAGGAACTTTGTCCTCCACCTGAGCAGGTCCACTTGGGAAGTGTCCAGAGTAGAACCCGAGCTACCTGCAGCTCCAGTCAGCTGAAGGGGTCCCTGGAAATCCAGGCCTTGGTGACGGTCTGCAAACATCTACACAGACTTGGATCCTAAGCCACTGTAATGTATGAACAAGAGCAGCGTCTCTCAGAAGGGAGAAATATCACTCACATGAGGACTTCCATGCAAGGGAGGACATCTAACAAACACGGGAATTCATGAGGCTGGGAGCAAGCGGCCACTAAGGGAGCACATCCTGAAGGTGGCATTGAGCGTAGTGGTTTGAAAACACGAGAGGACTGCACACGTTCAAGGAGCAGGCAGTGTTCCGTGAGGAAACACGAAGTCCATCACCTGGGCCCCCTAACTGCCAGCCGCCCCCTGACTGACGATCAGACTGAGCTGCTGGAGCTTCCTGTGAGCTTGGCACGTTCCCGACTTCAGAGTCCATCACTGAGGGGTGTGCTTTGAAAAACCTCACTAGTGACAAGACGGTATCTCCTGTAATGAAGGCAGTTTGAGAGGACAGACTTGTCCCACTTCTGAACAATTCACACATACCTTTTTAATAATATGTAAAAAACTGAAGAAAAAAGAAAATCATCCCTCCTTTCCAAGCCCTCCTTGGAACAAACTCTTCACCACCATCACCTTCACTTACTCCAGGTGCAGCTTTTCAATTATTAAAGACTCCAAGCCTTTTCTTGTGCTACACCCGAAAACACCAAACCAAACCCACTGCTGCGGGGTCAGTCCCCACTCCGAGCCACTGGTGGGCTCCACAGGCCTCTGAGGCTGTAAATCACATGGTTCTCTAAGGAACCTAACCGCTGCGCCACCACCTCTTCCCTCTTGCACTAAAGCAAAGCCTTATAAGAACCCTATGCATCTGGTTCAGCTTACCTACAAAATCTGGTTCAGAACCAAGGACAGACAGGCTCTGAAGAGCAGCGATTGAGTGTTTGGTTCCTTGCCTTCCTCTGACCAACTTGGGAGAAAATGTCTGTCAGTGCAAGTCTCCCCTTGCTCAGTATTGACATTTCTCATCATCACACGGGAGGAGGAACGTCGTGCCTACGGCCCAGGTGGATGTACCCAGGTACGACAGCCTCTGCCCTTGTTTCTGCTTCTTCTGTATTTTAAACATTGATAATTCATTTAAAATATTTTTCATGTAGACAAGACATGAATACAGTGCTGGTGGAGACCTGGGGTCCCCCTCTAAGCAGAGAGGACACAGAAAACAAGGCCTCATCAAGGCATCAAGACAGGAGGGTGACCAGAGACATGCTCTAGCAGAACTATGCAGCAGAGAGGACTCAAGGAGCTCCAACAATACACCAAACAGCTCCATGGCACATGAGCGGAACGGCAAAGGCCATCAAATGGGCTACCGTTTCCAGCACCCATGCCATACAGCTGCGTCATGATGCTGATTATGGTGGTCAAAATGCCAAGCAGAATTGTAAGACTGACCATGAACACAGCCGGTTTACCACCTTCCCTTTGCTATCCTTCATTAGAAGTCATGATCCGGAAGGTTCCAAAATAGAAAACAAACAAACAAACACACACACACACCATAGTAACTTCTGGGCAGCAACCCTGGGAAGAGAATGAGGATGAAAAGGTTCGCAGAGTTTTGAGGGAAATCAGTGTAAGAGTTGAATATTACTATACATAATTCTTCAGCGATTTTCTAACCAGAACTACAGTTTCTGGTTTCCAGAGACTGAGAGTTGTTTACATGAAGACTTACTGGAATATAGCCCTTTTTCATGTGGGTAACTCTATTACACTGAGTTAATCCTCTGTGTGCTTTTATAAGGATTCCTAATAAATTAATGGGTCCTGGTGTGGTGCTGTAGGATTAGCCCTAGACTGCAAGGTAGATTTGAACCACAAAGTGGCGGTTCAAGTCCACCAGTTGCTCATCGGAAATCCTATACACGGTCACTACGAGTTTGAACCAACTTGATAGCAATTAAGAACAACAAAAACATTAAATCCAGTGGCGTTGTGGTGTGGCACTATAGGGTAAGTACTGGTCTGGTAAATGAACAGTCCACAGTTCAAACTCACCAGCCACTCCTTGGAAACCCTATACAGGGTCGCTATGAGTGGGCACAAACCGGACAGCACTTAACAACAAATGAAAGTGGCCCATGTCTGGCCCACTTGGTCTATTCTGCAATAGGTGTACTCATCCACGGTGAGATAGGCGATCCTTTTCATTGGTATTCCACCCTAAACCGGGATTTACTCTGGGCCTGTTATCCACCTTTCCAATTCTGGGGAACAGCAAAGTGGGGGAAGGGCTGGGGAGGTGCAAGACACAAGGTCCAGCCATCTGCCTAGGGACCGTCCTCCCTGACACGTTCTCATTATGTGATTTATAACAACAGAGCCAAGACTAAATCCCACATTTGAAGACAGAATACTAAATATCTCCATTGTCAGTTATATATAATATATAATCACAACGAGAAATTCTCAGCTGGGCTCTGCAAGGCATTTCTATATAGAATTAAGTTAGAGAATTAGTAGGAGTTGAATTATAATTATATGATTAATAGTACCATCATAATAGATATTTCTACCTCAGAGAAGCTGTCTGTTGAACAATCGTCACAAAGGACTGTCTGAAGAGCAGGGACATTATGTATTTTAACCAAAGAGTTGCGCCCTTACTGCTATTGTTCCATATTACTAGAGGAAGGATCCCAACACAAGATTCTATACTCAGCCTTTTCAAATTCCAGTTTTAAATGTTGTTGTAACTCTAATGGGAGACCTGGGGTGGCACTGGGGGTTCATGCGCTGGACTACAAAGTCATTTGAACCACAAAGATGGCAGTTCAAGCTCAGCAGCTGCTCCTAGGAAACCCTATACAGGGTCGCTATGGGTCAGAACCGACTCGACAGCACTT